CTTAGCAGCTATTTTTAAAGTGGGCGGAGCTCGGGGAATCCAGCGAAATGGAGATTCGTAAACAGCGTATGATTTGAACAGAAGTAAAGTGAGTGATTTAAAGTGTAGAATTGAGCCAGAGCGAGAGCGGCCATCTGTCGTGGAGTTTGTACTTTACTGTTGTTTAGAACGTTATTTTTTGGAGTTTTGGGACTGAGGTAAATGTTTTCCGTTCACGCGGGCCAAAGGGTGTTTGACCGCCGGTTTTGTAAAGTTTTTTGATGTCCTGAGAGTTATATTTGATTTGATATGAACCACGGGTGATTGATTTATGGGTGTTGTTTTGATCGTCTAAGAGTAAGTTTATATCTATATTATACCCTAAAGCCACTAAATATAAAATAAATTATAGCTAGTAAACCTGCCAAAAAACATTTTGTGTAAATCACACGATGACTAAAGCGGGTGGAAACGCAAAATGCTCAGCACAGGGTGGTAGTGCATTGTTAAACATGCAGCGTTCAACGTGCGTAAGGGGAAAGAATATGAGTAAAAAAGAGGGAAGAATTATCGAAAAAAGAGTGTGGATTTGTTGATAGAAGAGTGAAGAATTATTGAAGAAAGAGTGAAGAATTATTTAAAGAAGAGTGAATAATTATTTAAAGAACAGTGAAGAATTATTGAAAGAAGAATGAAGAATTATTTAAAAAAGCCAGTGAAGAATTATTTAAGAAGAGTGAAGAATTTGAGAGAAGAAGTGAAGAAATTATTGAAGAAGAGTGTAATTTATTTGCGGGGGAGGTGGCGATGAGTGATACAGAGAGGGTTACTGGCGGGTGCTTGATCTGCAAGCTCAGGTAGAACGCTTGTGTGATGTGGAATGTAAGGAGTGTGCAATTTATCAGCGGGGAATGAGTGTGCTTTGTGGTGATGTGTGGCGCGTGAGCTGGATTTGGCATTCAACTCCAAAAGTTACGTGATACACACGTAGCCGAGATTAAAAACGCGTAAAAACGCTATGTTTTTCAAACCGCTATTATACAAAGCAGCAGCAAGCTGTTCACAGCTTTAATAAGGATAATTGCTGCGCAACTGTTGAACGGGCATGCACTATACAGAACGTGTCGTTTACCTGGTAATAATAATCGAGTATTTCCGCTTTAGAATCCGTTTTAATGTAGTCGTATGTTCCGTCCGGACGCAGCGCGTGCGCTCTGCAAACGAGTATTCCGAACAGTTTGTTGGGTGCCTGCAAAACATGAATTGCAGAGCGTTTAGGCGGACGTTGTCGGAAATAGAAGCGAATGTGTGCGTGCGTGCGTGCGTGCGTGCGCCGCGCGTGGTGCGTGTGTGTGTGTGGTTTGTGTGTATATGTGTGTGTTGTGTGTGATGTGTGTGTGTGTGTTGTGTGTGGTGTTGTGTGTGTGGCGTGTGTGTGTGTGTGTGTGTGTGTGGTGTGTGCGTGTGTGCGTATGCGTGTGGCCGTGTGCGTGTGTGCGGTGCGTGTGCGTGTGTGGCGTGTGCGTGTGCGTGTGTGCGTGTGCAGTGCTGCCGTGTGCGTGTGCGTGTGCGTGTGCGTGTGCGTGTGCTGGTGTGTGTTGTGTGTGTGTGTGTGTGTGTGTGTGTGTGTGTGTGGTGTGTGTGTGTGTGTGTGTGTGTGGGGGTGTGTGGTTGTGTGTGTGTGTTTGTTTGTTCGCATATATGGTGCGGTGTTATACTTTAGCGCTAGACGCTTCCGTGTTCAATGACGGAATATTTACGTAACCTTCGCAGATCGTTCATCGTCATGCACCAGATGATCTCTAACGTGGAGTTGTACACGGAATGGCGGAGAAATTATGGCGCAATTTATACGTCTGCGAGCACAACTCTAACGCATTCTCCTGTCAAACTATGTGCAGCATCAGAGTGAAAGGGGTAGATGGAAGAAAATAAAGAAGAAAGTAAGGAAGAAAGGGAAGGAAGGAAAATAAACAAAATAAAAAAGAAGGAAATGAAGAATGAAAGAAGGAAGAAGGGGCATCAGAGTGGAAATGGCGAGTAGAAAAGAGTGAACGTAAAAAAAAACGTTACGAGAGTGCGTAGTCTCTGTATACTTCTCTAGCGCCTTCTACAGTTAAACTGTAACAGAGCGAAACGTAAGAATAATCGTGAAAAAAGTGTTCAAAAATGCATACATGTTCATGTAACATAGGCCCTATACGTATTATCGCCACTCTATTAACCAAACAATAAAAGGGACCAACTAACAAGACGTTAACACTATAAGTATAATTATAATTATAATTAAAATATATATTAGTAACATTAATGAGGAAGCGGGGCAACAATTCATGACAAATGACAACTTTAACTAGTGTGTTAGAGTTCACCACACGCACGTTGCATGTTAGAATTTGGAGAAACACTAGCCAGAATTAACTGGCGCCAGTGAGTTCCCATATCATAGGGGCCAAACTAAGAGAACGCGAAAAGCACACAACTACCGCGCAGCTGCATATATACAACACCCTGAGTAAAACAATAGCCCGAAAATTCGTAGTTCTCTTCCTTTTTATTCTTCGCGTTTCTCTATTGCAAATACGAGTGACTATTAGGGAAAAAATCGCTCGAGTAATCCAAGGAGCTGCATCGTTGTGAAAACAATAAAACAAACATTAAGGCAACATAACTAAAAAACCAAAACACAATAACCAGTTATGGCATCAGAAGTCTAAAATACGTAAGGAAATTTTCACAACAATTTACGTGTAAAATTTGTTTCGTATCCTAGACTTGTGATAGTTGTTAATTATGAAACGAGTTTGGGCCACTAATAATGGGTCCCCTGGTGCACCTACCCATCTCCACAGCGTGTAGGCTCTTAGGAGATCAGCCTCGCTGATCAGGGTATCATCGTCACTTATTAGCACGGCTGCAAAACAAGTAGAAGTGACATGCAGGATAACTGCCGTGTTGAATGTCTGCAATGTACACACGGTTCCGTTGTCATCGTAGCATCGTAAAATACTACGATATTACGATATCACAACATCGTGTATCTTCCTCTCCCCTCTCTCGCTCTCGCGCTCTCTCTCTCTCTCTCTCTCTCTCTCTCTCTCTCTCTCTCTCTCTTTCTCTCTGTCTCTCTGTCTCTCTCTTTCTTTCTCTCTGTCTCTCTCTCTCTCTCTCTGCTCTCCCTACATCCACTACTCTCACTATTTTTCTAAATCTATCTCTATATTTCGTTCTATGTCTTCATTCTTACCTTCAGTCATGAGATCGGCAGATAATCGCATTCGATTACTCAGCAGATTTCGTTCGGGTCGAATCACGATCAGTTCTTTGCCGGCGCCTTTGACGATATCATAGGGAAAATCGGGCACTTCTTCGCCTGTGTTTTTTTTTAACATAAACGAACGGATTATACAGCATACATCCTGAAAGCGCACGCGAAATGTGATACTTCCGCTTTAACCCTTAATAAACCACCTTATTTACTAGGTGTACGGTAAATAAAAAATTACGAATTTTTACAAAAAATACGTAGATATATATGCAAGTAAGAATATTTAATAGTTATATAGTAAAATTTAAGTAAGAATATATAAATATTTAATAAAAATACAAGGTTGTATCGCTACATATTGACAAATATAACATCCGATGATGCTAACTGTAAGAGCATTTTGATGGACGAGTGAGAAGCGGTACGTTTTCACCGCCTTCTTCTGAAATATGACCAGATAACATGAAACTTGGTTTCACTAACTCTGATATCAAGACTAGATAAAAAATGGTAATAATAATGAAACATTATTATTATTATCATTATTATTATTATTATTATTATTATTATCATAAACTACTACTGATGCTAATCGTAGAACACATACCCAGATTATGCCAGAGCAGAATGATTTTGTATATGAACGCCATCTTGGAGTAGTTAGTCAGTACCATGCGCAGCAGGTCATTGCGTCGATACGTCATCATGACGACAGTGAATCTAGGTACGGCCGCCGGCCGCGTTCTCAGCGGCGATGAATCGACGGTCCGGTTACCGGGCTTTGCGCGGCTAACCCTTCGGTTCCGGTAACCGGTTAGGTGCGTCCGGTCGCCACGGGGCGCGACACCGTAGATAGACGAATACTGCAGTAGATACGCGACGCAACACAGCAGCGCTACGACGCAGTAGATGACGCGTAGCCGTCGGCCGCGCATCTCGTGTAGAACCGCTGCTGATGCGCGCAGACGCGCCGGGATATGCGGCTACCCGCGCGCGCGTAACGAGAGTAGCAGACGGAGCTGGACGGCGTCGGTGAGCATGCGCACACCGGCGGGGTCGATGCGACGAAACCTGTCACTAGATACCCACCGTCATCAAGTGCATGGCCAAGTACAGTTAACCCGAGATTGCGTAATAGCTGTTGAGCTACTACGCAACAAAAGTGAAAGAATGTGGGCTGGTAAATAGGGAGGAAGGGAAGGGAGGAGTGGCGGTAAGGAGGAGAATTGGGGAGGGGAGGGAAGTAAGGAGGGTGAGGGGAGGAGGAGGAGGAAAGCAAGGAGTGATTTCGGACGATGCTTCGAGGTCTCGCGTCCTCCGAGTTAAAACGATACTCGGAGTTTACCTCAACATGATTTCGATTGCTAGCAGACGAAGTTCAGTTGATTGATCGCTGCAAGCAGACGCTTAAACCATACAGCGAATCCACCCCCCCAGGGGAAAACAGTGCGGGCTGGTTCCGAGAAATCACTCTCCCCCTCTCCTGGCGTCACGAACCTTCTACTTCCTACCAGCCTTTGGAAATCTCTCCCCCTCCCCCCCACCCAGCTTCAGAAACCTCTTCCTCCTCCCACCCAGCTTTATAAATCTCTCCCACTTTCCGGGCTTCAGAAATCTCCCCCACCTCCCTCGAGGTTTCCGCAATCCACCTCAGCAGCTTCGCGAAATCTCTCTCCCGCTTTCAGCATTATTTATTTAGTAATTCAGAAAGCCTGTACTGCGCCGTGTTCTTTACTCGCTATTTGAGAGGCGCGTTTCCGCGAACGGTCGAACGCACGCACGCACGCGCACGCACGCACACGCACGCGCACGCACACACACACACACACGCACGACAAGACATGCACGCACGCACTCACACAGACACGCACGCACACACACACACGTATGAACGCACACACACACATACACGCGCACGCACGCGCATGCACGCATACACAACCAGCCATAGACAGCCGACGCACGTTGCTATGCAACACACGGTTCAGCGCGGCTTCACCGCTCGTATACAGTCTACGTACGTACGCAACGATTACAAGTGACACGGCTGCTGCTTCACCGCTCGTATACAGTCTACGTACGTACGCAACGATTACAAGTGATGCAGATGGGGTCGTTGTCGTATAAAAGCGGCATAATAGTAGTAGTTCATAGATGTAAAAGCAGTCAGCCAACCACACAGCCTGCCTGCCTACAGTGCGTGATTCTCCCGTCCCTCCAGCCTGCCTGTTACTCATGCTGAAGGGGTCGTTGTCGTATCAGGTACTACATATATGTACCCGAGGTAGTTTTAGGCTGTTTAGTATTATGTTTATATTTTTATATGAGGTATGTTCAGGGTTAGTGTTAGGGTTAGGGTTAGGGTTAGGGTACACTTCTGTAGTACAAGTCTGGTACACTTTGTGTATACATATACGTAGCTCGGGTACATATCTGTAGTACCTGATACGACAACGACCCCTTCCGCACAAGTGAGCGGCTGCTGCTTCCTCATTATGCGTGAGTGTTAACACGCGTAGTCGGCTACTGCCGCGCGCGCGTGCAAGCATGTGCACGACTTACACGCGCGGCGCGCGCACCTGCTGTACGCACCACCACCACACTATATCAGGGAAAAAATTATAAATTATAAATTTTAAATTATAAATTATAAATTAAAAATTTTAAATTAATTTTTCGGGGGCTACTTTTCAAGCTCGCGCGCATGAAAATAGCACTCTAAAATTTGGTTTGCCTTGAACTCTATGCAAATTTACGGGGGCTCTTTTTGGCATTTCCGGGGCTCTTTTTGGCATTTCGGGGGCTAAATCGCCCCGTGCCCCTGTGTATTTTTTTCACTGCTGTACGGACCGCCACCACACTATATATATATATATGTATGTATACATACACATATGTAACAGTGCGCTGTTAATTAGGTGTTACACATATACAAAAATTGGAAAACCATTTAAAACACCATAACAATCCCATCTCTGCCTAGTTTGAGTAATGGTACCTCTCTGTACAAACCGAGAGATAACCACTTGGAGCTTATAACACTCTAACAAACCCACCCCGGCTCTCAAGCACGTCCATCTTCACATATATATACATCCGCAAATATATTTAAGGACAATAGCATGCGCTCCCGCACAGCTGCGTTTCAGTGGTCACATAGAGTTCAGTTAAAAAATGACAGCCAAGATATCCGTGACTGACACTGATAGATAGTGATACAGGGTGCGAAATTAACGAGAGTCCGGAGTCAAATACTCCCTGATTTACTGCCGGACTCCCTGAAAATTTTGCCATACTAACTAGTTCGTTCCAGAGCACGGCCTTGCAAAATTACCGAATTTTTTCTGCAAATGTCCAAAGAAAATTTGGCAGACGTGCAACCGCATGAATCTTCAAAATAAGCACATGCGTTATTGTTAATATCTTTAATTTTGAACTTCAGACTGCGGATCCCTCTTTTTGAGGGCAGGGACTTTGTTCAAAAGTTAATTTCTATCTTCCGGTGATGCATTTCAGAATACAGACCTTGAGTAGACAAACAGGGTTCCCTCGATGTTCGTTTTTTCCTAGAATAAAAAAACACGTGCACATCATTATACGAACACGGCAAATGGAAGGCTACTGCAGAGTTCAAGAACTCACATTAGTGTTCAAAAATAGATTGATTCTAGAGATTGCTAGGTCAAAATACCAGCAATTCTATTCATGAATTGATCGAAATCCCGAAGGTTACAAACACAAATACCCTCAGCAAATTATATGAATAGTTCAACATAAGAGAAATGTGATTGTCGTCATTTTAATCAAGGTGAATCATTTATTTCAAAAGCCAACCCATCATCAAGTACCTTGCAAACACAATTTAACATCGCTATAATTTCCACCCATAGGTGGCAGCACGGTGTCAAAACGTTGTATAATTGTTACCAATAATCACTACTTGTAATAATGCAATTACACACGACTATTCTGTTCGAATACTCTTGTTTTACAAACCACGTGCTTATCGAGCAGAGCTACTCCAAAAAATAATAATGGTGCCTTCAGATTGGAGAGCTACGCAGGCAGAGCTGTTCTGGGACATTTACCTCTCTCCCAACACAGTTGCTCATGTCCTACTAAATTCACCACTAGTTCACTGTCGTTTTCAACCAACTTTTTTTGTCACTTATTACTATTATTAAACTAGATTAACTGAAGTGAGATGCATGGGTTTGGAGCAGCATATATGGCGATGCGCTAGGTTTAGCTGTATTACAAGTTTCCGGTAATATGAGTTATTTATCCACGATGAACTATTTATTCTCCTCATTCAAATGGCTGGTATTATTTCTCCGGCAGCCGGAGAAGCAGCTGTGAAAACCATCGTTAGTTCTCCGGCAGCCAGAGAATTAAGAACAAATTTTCTTGTTAGATCTCCGGCGCCGGAGAAACAACTGTACGTTTTCAGCACTGCTTCTCCGGCTTTGCCGTAGAAGCAATGCTGAAAATCATAGTTAAATTCTCCGGCAGACCGAAGTGTCCCGCCGTCGCTGTATTCCGCCTGTGGGCTGCCGCCCCGCCGCCGCAACCCTAACCCTTACTTCTGGTTTGGACGTTAAATGGTTTTATGGTTTGGTTATGGTCTGCTTTTTGCCGGAGAAGCTAGTTTGATTTCTTGGCTTAGTTGTCTGGCTTGCCTTCGAAATAATCACTTCGCATTCAAATAGAAGTTTGTTTAAACAGGTTCCTTCTTTTTTGAGTCTTCATTGAGGATAAATAAACCTCATAGACAAAATATTTGTTTGAAAAAGATTCGATAAGCACGTTACTTTAATCGGATAAATGGATCAGGTCCTTGGTTTAACGGGATATGTTCTGCAGAACAAACTTCAGTGAACGCTGTAAAATGATCCTAAACTCAAAAAGCAAACTGACAATTCCCAAGGTTTCCAGTAGATTCTGAAATTACTGAGCTCAGAATACATTCTTACAGCTAAACGTGTGTATTGTATGTACTGTGCGTGTTGTGAATGGACGACTGAGTGAGGTACAAGTAGGCATGCATGAACCACTGGAACAGTGTTCATTGCTTAATCGGGACATATTCATGGTTCACTACCTGTCCCGATAAAGTGGCTTATTAATTAATTAATAGCAATTATAATTATTTATTAATTAATAGCCCAGTTTATTAATTTGCTGCCTTAAAGAGCTCTCTCTATGATGCCTGATAATTTGGCCAAAGGGAACCAAAAAATTAAACAAAAAGGACAAAGACCACATAAGAACGTTACCGGCTACCCTCAGCCACACCCACACTGCCAATAACTTCACCAGACTCTTAAAGGCTCACAATGCGCATCCAAACGCTAATTTCTCCAGTACTAGACTAGCAAATACTTCGTGTCATGCATAATCACACTACCTTATGGCAATATAAACTCTAGTTCCTCCCATTTCACTGCGCGTTGTCTTATAAAAGGTATTTTGAAAATACCTCCAATGTTGTCGAAATTCTCCGATGTTGTTGACAGTTTCCCCAATCCCCAAGCAACCGTGCAGCGGTGCTGCGGTACAGCGGTACGGGCGCAGCAAAGATAAAAACATGTGACGTCACGTCACCACTTCGAGGCTATTTTGTTTGGCAAACAGTCGGCGTTTGCGCCAGAATGCCAGTTTTCTCACCTCTTTTTTGTGGGTTTTAAGCAAACGCGCAGTGAAATGGGAGCAACTAGAGTTTATTTTGTCATAAGGTAGTGTGATTATGCATGACACGAAGTATTTGCTAGTCTAGTACTGAAGAAATTAGCGTTTGGATGCGCATTGTGAGCCTTTAACAGCCATGGAGACCCTTCAATATGCACTCATCTACTTGCCGGTGAGTTAATGACTGCCCATACTAGATTTATAAAAAATGTTTTTTTTATCAAGTTAGCAAAGCCATATCAATTTGCTATGATCTTGACAATGATATAGACGAAAACAGCTCGTGTTTCCGAAAGAGTAATCTTATTAATTATCACAAACAATATTAGGACTTAATTCCATTGATATTCCTTAGGATATTCCTGGGAAATCAGTAAATAAACTATCAATTGTCAAGCCTCGATTACAAGTAGTTCTGGGTAGTAACGAATGACGTCTATGAACCAGAGTAGTATGTACATTTATAAAAAACTGAATAAGTCTGACTAAAGCGGCTACCTGTTCAGAGTCATGTAACTATATTCAATTTTCTTACAAACACATTGTGCAACTTACTGCTATCATAATGTAAGCACATAACACATCCTTCATGACTACATTAATGCTCGATTGATAAAGAACCACATGCAAGGGCAATAAGGTTACACTGGAATTATTGAAAGCCAAATTCGAAATCATTGTACAAAAATGCACCAATCGCTGCCATTCCAAAATCTAGCGTAACACCTACCACACATAAGACGATAAATGGAACAATACCATGTTTGAAGGACAGCTTTTGTAACAACATACATCAGATAGCCAAAAGCGAGGTTCGACAAAAAAACAGTCATAATACAACCTTTTGACAATAAACTGTTCACTAGAATCCTGAATGCAGTAAAAGTGTGCCCTGGACGTACCTACTATGGCATCGTTTGGTATTGTTTGACGATTGGATTCCTTTAGTATGGGAGATCAGAACATTGTTTGCACGAGCAGTTAAAGCCCGGAGCACACGTGAGTTATTTTACTCAAGTAAAATGACGCATGAGTCAAATTACTCAACGAAAATCCGCCGCACACGTGAGTAAAATGACGCATGCGTCAAATTACTCAACGAAAATCCGCCGCACACGTGAGTAAAATGACTCATGCGTCATTTTACTTGAGCAAAATAACTCACGTGTGCGCCGGGCTTAACACTCAGAAATGGTCGTCTGTAATGTGTGGCAGTTTAATGTGAGATCTTGTGCATGCACACCCACCAGTGTGAGCCATGTGCACAGAGTTCCTAACCTAAGATTTTATATGTCAATCGCTGTGCATATATCTAATCTAGTCAATTTACAAGATCGAGTGGTGAACCCCAGAGCATACATGGTAATGGTTAGCTCTAGAACTATAGTATAGCCCTTCGCTCTGCCACCTGCCTGTGGCAGAGCAAAAGGCTATAGTTCTAGAACTACGTAATGGTGTGGTGTCAACACTTTTGTGTCACTAGTTTGGCGTGCAGTACTGCAAAAACTTGAGTTCACGGCATCTGAATATGAACTATAACGTGCGCGAGAAAATGACACTGTCTGCAGACTGATAAGTGATTAGTGGTGCTGCCAACTGGCAGTACTAATAGTCTAATACTAATACAACGACTCAATACCACAGCAGATGTCGGTCTTTCTTGAACACACACCTGGCGGGCGTACGCATATATTGGTTGGCTGCTAGCATACGCTGTACTGTAAGAAGAGGCAACCAACAGCCAACACAAACAACGTCCAATTCACGATCCAGAAAGGTACATCGATATCTTTACATACGAACGTTAAACAATAACATAGCATGATTACCCATTCGTTCGACTTCGAGTTGAATGTGTACAGTGCAACTTGTGAGGCGGCATCGACAATCTCAGTGATGTAGGGATCACATCGTTGTAGAGCTGCCAAATTCATTCGCAATTCAGCCGCCATTTTCGCATCTAGTAGTCCCGAGGAAAATCGATCGGCAGCGCTTTGCACCGAAGCAAATAGCAATGTGTGGATGTTATTAACGCGTAATTGGCAAATAAATTATTTCAACTAGCACATTGTCTTGAGTACTAACTTAAGGATGTTAATAGACTGATAATAAATTAGTTTCTTTTAAGTAAAAATGTGAAAATTGACGAATTTGCAGTAAATGGCGGTCCAGACGTCTATTGGTTGAAATCGTGTAAATACGAAAATAATAATTTGAGTTTCTACAAAGGTGAGCTTATACAATGAAGACGAAATTTGATAGATTTACGCCGAACAAAATCTTTCTATAATTGCAGTAATACGCTTGTGCAAGGCTGAATATCGAGTTAATTTTACCATTGAGTAAGCATTTACTCACACACCTTGTGAAAATGCCCGTATGTGGACTCGGGATTCGGGAATGAACGTGTACCGTGCACGATGGAAGTATGTGTGAATCTTGGTGTATTTTTGTGATGCCCGCCTAATCGACGGCTATGGATACGACAGGTAATGATCTATAAACTTATTCTCTATGTTTGTGACGTTTTTTATCGGCGCGTGAAACGGTTTTCGGCGAAAGGGCGTGTAAGTGAAAATCGTGCGTGATCATCATCGCGGCTGCCCCCGGTCATATGGCATCGGCTGTTGCCATAGCTGCTGCGTTCATGCTTAGTTGAAAGCTCGCTGGCGCTGCGTCCATCCAGATCTAGCTTGTACGATGGTGATGCGTCGTCGGTGACAGCGACCGTAAACAGATCCATGAAAATAGCATCCGTGTAATATTAATTCGGACACACAATCTCGCCGCAGTGCGACCGCTTGTTTTCCGGTTTTCCGCATCGCGTATTTCATAATAGGCACGTATATCTAGACTCTGTTATTTATTATACTATTACACTGTTAATATCTCGCCGGGGTTCCTGTTTATTAAACGTGGATCTGCTATATTCGGGGCTTTCACTCATCACATCAGATTCTAGCGACCAATTGTTGACAACAACAGCACACGTACTTACTTCACTGCGGCAGTAGCATTCGGCGGTAGTGTACACACGCGCGCGTACATGTATACGTGTGTACACAAGACTCGCGTGCGGGTTCCCTCGAGTAGGCGCGTACGCTGTTCACATCTATCGCTGTATAATAGTAATAAATAAAAGCCGCGTAAACCCATGTAAGCAATTAAAGAAATGGATAAACAGAAATCGTTGTAAAGGGAATAATATAAACAAATCTGAGTTATCACCACCTGAATGTTTCAGCGCACTTGGTCCCTATATCTATCAACTAACTATAGCTGTAACATAACTGCAGGAGTGAATAATAATAGATTTATTATTATTATTAGATATATTATTATTCATTCCTGATAACATGGATAGTTTAGTAATAATAATTAATATACTGATGCTAATGCTGTTAGATAATTTGTTATACATTGTCCTGTTTAGTAAATGTTCATTCTTCACGTGTTTATGGTTTAGTGAAAAAATGATTTTGCTGTTACTAGGAAAAAAATGCGCACCCATTCTAGATTTCAGTTTAAAAATTAGTTTAAATTTCTGACAATTTATGAACTGCTTGCATAAATTAAATTGCGTACATTTTTTTCATTTAATTATATTATGTTTGGCATGATTTATGTTTGTTAGAGACTGGATAATAACACCAATTATGTGCACTGTATTGCATTATTATTCAAATTGTAACGATGCATATATGATATATAACACTGCTCATTGTTCTAGTTAATTAAACCCAGCGCGGATCGTACGAAATGAATTATAAATATAGGAAGTGTATAGTAAATTACCCAGGTTGTCTTGATTGAACATTCATAGCAATTTCCAACCTATTAAATATATATACCACCATGCAGTGTTGTAACCTCACATTTTCATCTTACAAGTTACAGCCTGATGGATTATTATTTCAAAATATTGATCATAATAATTTTCACAGAGAACGGTCTGAATGTAACATGGTCTTGTTAAAAAATAATACCAGATAAACAATGATACTTGTAATAGAAAGAGGCATAAAAGGGCAAGCATATAAACACGTTTATTTTATAAAGTATATGATTGTATAGCGTATATAGTATTCCACGATTCTGTTCTCGTATATATCTATACATCAGGAGTCAATAATGACAAATTTGTCATTATAAACCCCTGCTATACATGATGTACCCCGTACTAGCGATCCAATGAAAAATCATTAGAAACAGTTGCAGTACGAAACACACAAACATTTCTCACTCCCCTCCATGTATCAGATGTGACTGGCTAAATATTTTACAATGGGAACAGTGTCACTTTTATCGGGTTGTTAGTGGTCCCTGTGTCGGCGTAAAAAAATAATTGCTTCGGTATTTGATCGACTCGAGTGCAAGATTCATGAGGCCCGCCACCTTTGATAATGAATAACAGTCATTGTAGCAAATTGTACACGTGTACGGGCGCGTGGCAGGGGTGTCGGGGCGTGGCAGGGGTGTCGGGGCGTGGCAGGGGTGTCGGGGCGTGGGTGCACACGCTGATCATTGCCCCGTGTACACGTGTGTATCCGGCCGTTCTACCCTAATTATATTGATTGATTGTAAGATGAGGGGGGTTTTATGCAAGAGCGGCAGCGGGCGTGTGTATCTCTCTCTCTCTCTCTCTCTCTCTCTCTCTCTCTCTCTCTCTCTCTCATCTCTGCCGCACGAACGACTCATTATTTATACACTAGCGCAACGCTTCGTATAATCTCACAGGAAACTCACAAACTGCTTTAGAAATGTGTGTCATTGAGCATCCCGGTAGACAAGTCAGCAACAATGTACAGTGAGTGAAGTACAAGATAAACATAACATTCCGGTTTTGTCTCCAGCACACATTTCCGAACATTTTCCCGAACAAATGTTCGTCCGAACAAATGTTTTTGTCTACAGCGAACAACCTCGTGGCGCCGTCTAGTAGCTGTGTTGTAAAGAGTCACGTGATCGGCGTGAATGGCGATGCCCAGTTTGCACAAAAATTCTGTGACCACATATCGGGCTGCTATTGGTTACTACTTTACAAATGTTCCTAGAATTGTTCGACATTCAGCGCACATTGACGAACATTCGACGAACAATGTTCGAGATATCAAACATTTCCGATCTTCAGAAACATTGTTCGGAACAAATGTTCGGCGACTTTTTTCACCGCACATTGCCGAACATTTTATGGAACATACGATAAGCTACGATAATGTTTTTGAGCAAAATGTTCGGCAATGTGCGCCAGTGAATGACCGAGCTGACGCGAATATCATACGCAGAAGTGCAGACTCGAAGAGCAGACGCGAAGACGCGCAGACGCGCAGACGCGAAGAGCAGACGCGAAGATCACACGGTAAGTGAGCTGACGCGAAGATGGAAAAAACGCTGCGATGTGTCCGCAGATTCATATCTCTCTCTCTCTCTCTCCCCTTTCTCCTCGCTTATCTCTCTCTCTCTCTATCTTTCTTTCTCGCGCTCTCTTTCTCTCTCTCAATCTTGCCCTCTCGCCTTCTCTCTGACGTCGATCAGTGTTTTATAGCCGAGAGTTAATGATCTATAGAAGCACGCGATCGATCTACCTGAGACGTAAGTAGCAACTTCGCGTGTAGACACTATATATGGTGGCAAAGATTCGCGTTCATTTCGGTCAAACATCAGACCACAATATTGTTGTAGCCGTGTAGTTTGAGATGGTAGCAACAGTAGCGAAAAACTCAGCGCGCTACCGTTAACAGGAGCCATCGGCGGGTGCTTTCATTTGGCACTGAAACGCAACCAGCGTCTGTGATGATCGAGTTTGGGAACGTGAGCTGTAGAGCGGAGTTTGAGTTCAGGGCGGGAAGCTAGTGTCTATGGATTTCTGGCGTCGTTTCGTTACGGTAACAGCTAGAGGAGAGCGAGTTCGAGAAATATATGTGTAGGGGGAGTTCACACAGGAACGTTGCAATATGGGACGGGAGTTAAAAGATAGGGGTGAGTTTAGACGAAGAGAAGGAAGAGGCGAATTTGTGCACGGCGAGTGTGTAAAGGAGTGTGAGGGATAGAGGAAACGTGAGTTCGAATGTGATAGGTTCAGCAATGTAGACATACAGCCTGTTCTGCTAGCATCTATGACAAACACGACATACGCATATACGCTCTCCTATGACAATATTTGTCATAAGAAGATTCTTCCTATGACAAATATTGTTGTATGTATTGTATGCAGCATATTGTTGCGGCGCGCAAACGACAATAGACGGGCGCGTCCTCCCGCATCCGCCTTGTGCTAGGGATAGGACGCACCTGCGAACGGGCATCGCTTGCTTCCAGCAAGGGTCCGGTTTTGACAGACGAGTTTATGCTAGAGCCGGTTTTGAGCCCATATATATATAAGCAGCATTTGACAAGCAGCTAAAGAGAAGATATAAGATTTAGAGTCAGTCAGAGCCTAGGCATGGTTGCCTATAGGCTGTAGTATGTACATATATATTTTGTATGTGTAGTTACTAATAAAGTGCTAGTGAAACAACTAATCTGCGACTACGGCTCTACCTCTGCTATCTACGCTGCTGCTGCTAACTTCTCTACCATTTGCTGACGAGACTACGCTGCCACCTTCTACGCTGTCGACGCTACGAGAACCCGAAGTCATCACACTTTCGCAGTACAACAATTGGTGGAGAATGCGGGTAACGATCCCGCAACCTCTACCCAGCTAATCCCCCAGCTGAAGAAGAAGAAGAAGAAGAAGAAGAAGAAGAAGAAGAAGAAGAAGAAGAAGAAGAACGAAATAGGAAACGAGAAGAGAACCTGGCCTTCCAATCGTCCAGCGGAAGAGGGAGAAGCAGACGGAGGAGATGGAGAAGGAAAAACTAACAGCAGATGAGCAGATGAAGAAGAAGATGAAGGAGAAGAGAGAGAGAGAGATCTACACGGCGACACCTATGGTAAGCTACATCCTAATCACTGTATACATAGCCACAAATTCGGAAATAATTTATTAACAGTAAAATCGTTCGCAAATTTTTCGTAGTTATAGCTAGCGTGGTATTCGAAAATTATGGTAACGGCGTACGGTGATTCAAGCGTCGAAAGTGTATAGTAAGCCTATGCGATGAGAGGGGCGATCGAGACACCCAGCCGCTTCAAAGTATGACCTCGAACGTGGCAAATAGGGTAAGCTGAAATTAGCGTCCCTGCCAACAGAGGCATATTACGGTACAAAACTCACCATAGTACGTAAAGGTGACGAACGAGCCGATTTCGTCACGTGTCGCGTCATTTCCGAGTCACGATTGCCGATATACCATTGGGTCGATACCACGACAGCAAAACCACAAATTCAAATTTTTATTAAACAAACAGTTGGCTATAGATATGTGTTTACGATATAGCTTATAGCCGGTCCTATCTGTATTTTATGTTTCGTCGTTTGTTTGTTTGTATATTGTTTCTTTCGATTAACCGATTACTAACGTGATTTAAGTGGTAAGATGTATCATTGATTCGCCATCCTTCCTTAGCCTTTCCATGCCGATTCGTGTTGAGTTACCGATGCAGTTTGTCACCCCCCCCCCCTGTGATACGAAAATGTGCGCACATTTTTACTAGACAGCTGCAACAATATCCCCCTCAACTCGTTTCAAAAACGGACTTTCCATCCCTTCTCTACCCCGTGTTGTGCGCATCATAGGAGTTTAGGAGCGCTTATTATTACTGCTGACGAGCAATTATCACGCCAGCCATACCTGATGCTGGACCGACAGCCTAATCCGATAGTATTACCGAGCGGCGATCGACGATAATGGCGCCGTCAACATAATAGTAATAGTAATAGTAATAGTAATAGTAATATTCATGGGGCTAACTGTCAGGACTAGCACCCATTTTGTCCGAGATAGCGTGTACACACTGCAAATGTTTGGCGCGCGCCTGGCCCGGACTAGTTTGATGTAGGATCAAATTTGAAATCAGTACGGAATAAGAGTAAGAGATTGAGAGTAATTGGTTTACGGTGATTGTTTTACGGTAATAGTAATGGTGAGGTAACGGAGAGAATCATTTATTATTACAGTATGTCGCAGAAGAGTACGTATCCTGCTATGGGTAAGCGTTCTCGCCATCATACTCTACTGCAGTCTTCTGTCAGAGCAGGAGCAGAGCAGAAAACCTGTCGGACAGCCGGAAACAGTTCACATCCTCATGTTCTTCGCTAAAGCTGAGAAGAATGACCAGCTTCAACAGCAATTTCGAGCTAACATTAGGTTTGTTCCCCGTTAGAATAATTCGTCGTGTTATCATATCGCGTGCGTTATAAAAGCATGACAGCAAGCTTTTTAATCTTAAATGGCGTTTCACCGATCTCGTGCGAACGTGTATCGATATGTTTCGCGTCGTCATCTCGTCGAATATTAGCGTCCAGTAGTGGTGAGAGCTTTTACGCTCGTGTTTGCTACTACCAAGGAATGCCTCCCAATGTCGGTAGCAGCGTTTGCGACCGTAAAAATGTACCCGGCTTCTAAATCGACCCAAAGACAAGTGATACGAGAACCCTCGTGGACGCCTCTATACAACAGTCTCGCATTTTCGCTAACCACGCCATCACTCACGGGTCGATCTCTGACAACCTCATTTTCTTACGCAGGTCCATGGTGAAGCATGCAACTGGTCGGATCAAGTACCATTTCCTGGGCGACGCGAACAGCACCCGGATCGCAGCTGACATCCTGGAAAACGTGTTCGATACAATTCCGCACAGAGAGAATCTAGTCATACAAGTATTAGAAACACGGAAGATACCTGCGCTAGATGAGATTGTCTATGCATTCCTAATCATCATGCATCATAATGCATCATGCATTCCTAACCTGTGCAACGTCCGCGGATACCGGCTCACATGTGTCAAAACTAGCGTTTCTTGATGATGCATTCGCAACGAATTTAAATGTGGGGCGGTAGAATTAGAACAGATGAGAGAAGATTTAGAGGGTGAGAAATTAGAAATTAGAAATTATGAGTTAGAAGTTAGAAGTTAACAATTATAAATTAGAAATTGGAAGTTAGAAATTAGAAATCAGAATGTATAAATTATAAATTATGAATTATAAATTATAAATTAGAAATTAGAAATTAGAAATTAGAAATTAGAAATTAGAATTTAGGAATTAAAAAATTAGAAATTAGAAATTGGAAAATTAGAAATTGAAAATTAGAAATTGAAAATTAAAAATTCGAACTTTATAAATTATAAATTAGAAACTTATAATATACTGAATACTTTCACGGCCCGTTACCAGGTGCAGACATACGAAGTCGAATCGGTTGTCGCGAAAGTAGGACACGACGTATGGCCTACCCAACAGCAGTTGTTTAAAAGTTACCAAAAGAACTACGATCTCTTCAACGACATATTTTACTTCATTCCGTTCGCCCTTCACAAGGTCATTGACCTGTCTGAGGTCGATCGCATCATCGAGGTGGATGCCGACATGAGATTAATGACCGACATTCGAAAGCTTTGGCGGGAGTTTGATGAATTCTAAAATGAGACAATATTCGCGCTGGCTCAAGAGCAACAACCTGTATAAAATCAAAGGTTTGCGATAGCACGTGGGGCTCTTGGGGACGACAGGCTGGGCATGCCGCCACCTGGTGGCAAACCGGGTTACAATGGCGGCTTCTACTTCATCAACCTCGACCACATGTCGAAATCTAAGAAATATCAGGCGGCGGTAGCCGAGAGAAATCTGAGATATTTAATTCGAAAGTACTATT